GCCGCGCTGCGGGCCCGAAGGCTGCGGGGGGCCGCTGCGAGCGCTGCCGGGGCCGGGTTCTGCGTCAGCGGTGAAACAAAACGGGAATTGTATTCCATGGCTGTTTTAACGCTTTGGATTTTTCCGTTTCTGTCCTTTCCTTAGCCCATCAAAGCTCCTGAGTCTGTCTCCACTATAATTACAGCAGAATCAATCTTCTATAAGGTACGGTTGGTTTGCAAAAAGGATGTTGCTGTTCTGTTTCCGGTCTCAAAAATTACCACAGACGTTGTAAGCGGTAGGGATGCGTTCACAGAAACTTGTGTTTCCTTGCCTAGCAGTTGTGTGGGATTTTGCTTTGCTTTACGTCATTGCTGTTAAGCCTTGCAAGGTAGTTTCTCATGGTAGTTTATACAGACGTCATTGTTCCCGTTTATGTTTTCTGCCAAGAAAAAAAGTGCGTCTGGTTTCATTGGTAATTTTGGCAGTTGAGGTTTTAAACTTTTAACTTTCACCATGTAGAGGTCAAGCAGAAGCAACTGTAGCTGATTATTGACATTTGTGTGGTGTTCCCTGCCTTAGGCATGGAGAATACTGGCTGCAGAAGGGGCGGCTGGTGCTGCCCTGACATTTAAACTGGCTCCCGTTTCAGAGCTGGGTGCAGGCAGTTCCTGCACACGGGGTCTGTTGGATATCGCAGCAAGTGCAGGAGTAACCTCCTCACCATCCAGCTTGAGAGTGTTTTCAACAGTGTGACAAAGTGCTCGTGTTTTGAAGTCCTGAAACTTGTTCCTGGTAGCACAGACAAACCATTTGAAATGTTTTTTCCCTCAAAAAAAAACATTGGGATGGCCACTGGGAGACTCCATAGCCAGAGGAGAAGTGGTAGACTGAGCTTCTGTATGCTCTCTAGAGATCTGGTGCTTTGTGTCTTTTATCCCAGATGAATCTCTGTTTGCTCTTGACTAATTCGGAAGAGAATTGATGTCTTCCATATTTTTTAATTTTTTAGAAATTCCTAGGAGTTATGTCAAAAGTTTTATTTAACCTGATTTCTTTATGCAAAATGTTTCTATTTTGGGACTTTGCTGTGTTCTGGAGAAGTGGATTGTTTGGGGGGGTTGAGGTCTTTTACATCTGTTTTAAAAACAAAACCCTCCTGGATGATGCTTGGTATCTTGATAGTGCTTGGATCTTGATAGTGCAGGCACTGTTCACTATCAGGCACTTGATAGTGCAGGCACTTCATCTAACATGAAGTGAGTTGTCTTCACTGTGCAGCCTCTCACAAATGAAAAGCTCAACATGAGGCAACAATGTGTGAGTGCAGCCCAGAAAGCCAACTCTATCCTGGGCTGAATTGAAAGAACTGGCCAGCAGGTCGAGGGAGGTGATTCTGCTCCTCTGCTCTGATGAGACCCCACCTGGAGTGCTGTGTCCAGCTCTGAAGCCCTGAACACAGGAATGACATGGAGCTGTTTGAGCAGGTCCATAGGAGGGCCACAAAGATGGTCAGAGTGCTGGAATAGCTCTCCTATGAGGACAGGCTGAGAGAGTTGGGGCTGTTCAGCCTGGAGAAGGCTCCAGAGAGAGCTTATTGCAGCCTTCCAGTGTCTGAAGGGGACCTACAAGAAAGCTGGGGAGGAACTGTTCGTGAGGGGTAATGGTCTCAAACTGGAAGAGGGTAGATTTAGGTTAGAAATTAGCAGGAAGTTCATCTCTGAGGGTGGTGACACATTGGAACAGGTTTTCTAGGGAAGGTGGATGCTCCATCACTGGATGTGTTCAATACCAGGTTGGATAGGGCTTTGAATGACATGTGTTTTAATGGGATGTGTCCTTGTTCATGGCAGGGATGTTGGAACTAGATGATCTTTAAAGCCCCTTCCAACAGCAACCATTCTATGATTCTGTGATTCCAGAGCACCATGGAAGTTGCTCTGGCCTTGGCAGCAGCAGGATCTGTGTTTTGGGACACCTTTGCATGCAGAGAGGTGAACTTCATACCCAAAGCGCTTTACCTGCAGGCACTGGGAAGTTACTACAGTTACTTTTTCTGAAGGGTGATGTCACACTGTCTGGTACTAACAGAATGAGACCATCTCTGCTCTGCAGGCAGGAGGCGTAGCAGTGGTGGGAAGGGGGATGTGGAGCAGCTGAGAGCTGTGTGGTTGAAGACAGATGAGACCAGGTTGCTTCTGAGACATCTGGCAGACAGGGATGATGTGGAATTGCCAGGCAGGTCTCTAAAGCAATTCTGACGGGCTCCTGGACGTTGGGTGATGCTGCAGAAGCAGCGATGATGACTGCTTAGAGTCATGAGATAGGTGTCAGTCTGTCCTATGGCACCTTTCTTTTGCACACAGCTGAATTAAGGCTGTCTTCTGAGACTGGGGCAATTTCAGATAATTTAAGATACTGGTACTTAAGCTAGTCATGAATCGGCATCACAGTAAAGCTTCTAAAATCAGCTTGTTTGATTTAATTCTCATTTCTATGTCTTCTAGGGTGTATACTATCAAATTGGAGATGTTGTTTCAGTGGTTGATGAGCAGGATGAAAAAACCTACTACGCTCAGATCCGTGGGTTTATTCAGGACCAATACTGTGAGAAGAGTGCTGCGCTAACCTGGCTCATTCCGACACAGGCCAGCCCCAGAGATGGTTTTGACCCAGCATCCTACATCATAGGTAATCTCGAAGCCTTCCTGTTATACAGCTACTTGTAGGTACCTAGACTAATGCAGAGTAATGTAGTTTTTAACTTTTTAGCTTGTTAAGGCCATTTATGCGGTTTTGACATTCTAGATCCTAATCCTGTAAGCATCTCATTTACTTCAGTAGCCTTTTTTATTTATCTGGTGTATACAATATGATCAGCACTGCTGCAGTAGGTGTGATTATCTGAGTGTTTCTGCTCATAGGCACAATTATAGTCTCTCCACTTTAAAGCTGAAATTATTCTTCCATAGAATCAAAGTTACTACAGTATAAGGCTGATCCACCAGACCAAGCTGTTTCTTTCCAAGTGACCTGAATTAGCTGATCTTCATCTTGGGCACTTAACGAACATAAAGGAACGTGTGAGCACTGGCAGAGAGCGAGTGTTCTGCTGCTCATTATAAAACTACTAATAATTCAGAAAAGTCACTTTGGCAGGCAGGCCACAAATAGTATCTATTTTAAATATACTAGGAAAAGTATTTCACTCAAATAACTGGATGCTTCAGATGCAGGGGGAGAAGGAAAAAAAAAAAAAATCAGCCCAGCAGAACTAAAGGTGTAGGGGTTTCTTGCCTGGTGTCTGAGGCTGCTCTGCCAGGAAGGTTCCTGGTTGGAAAGACTCATTCTCTAAGGGATGATGGCTGCTGCTGCATATTTTTAAGTCCTGCATTCTCTGAGTTTATGCCTTTAAACTTTGTCTTTGAAGATTTTTTTATTTTTTTCCTAGGACCAGAAGAAGATCTCCCAAGGAAAATGGAATATTTGGAATTTGTTTGTCATGCACCTTCAGAATACTTCAAATCTCGATCATCTCCCTTCCCTACTGTCCCTACAAGACCAGAGAAGGGCTATATATGGACTCATGTGGGACCTACTCCTGCAATCTCCATTAAAGAAACTGTTAATAATAATTTATAATTTTTTAGAGGAATACTTTGGACAAGTTATTTTGGGTGTATCCTCAGGTCTGTGAACCTCATAAAAGAAGTTTTTAAAAATCATAAACTCTTCTTTTACTTTATGGATTATGGTATTTATTTGTTTAAAATTATATCAGATATTCAAAGTGGAAGGTTTTTTTTCTGTTTGATGCATCATTTCTGTGCTCTGTTCTTCAGATATTTCTCATTTTGGGACAAAACCACAAGTGTCACATCATCTTCAACTTCAGTGAGAAAAGAACTGAATTCTGAAAATTGACTTCAGAGTTCTTGTTTTCTAACTTATTTTCCAGAAAAGGAATTAAAAGACATACTCTTAATCTTCCAGCACTTTATATCCCTGCTTAATTTAGTTAACTGTGACTGCAGGTTTTGTTTACTTCAAGACTAGCTTCAAATGAGCACTAAACTTGGCCAGTGATGCAGTTACCAGTTTTCTGTTAGACTGGAGAGGAGCAATCTACTTGGTTTTCTCTTCCTCAGACTTAAATCTACCATCACCTTTCAGGAGAATTTTGTCCAGCTGAATCTAAAACCTGGGCCTCTGTCTGTCACTTCGTGCTAAACTTTGCTTAGGTAAGGGGATAAATTTTTTGGAAAGCTGGATGCATGCATCCTCATGGTATCCTCATGGTATCCTCATGGCAGAAATGTATTTTCATTTCTTGAGCAAGCCAACACTGCTGTATGATTTGAGTTTCACATCATTCCTATTTGTGTGTGTTAGCAAATTTTTTTTTTTTCATTTTAATTGCCTGAGGATTTTTTTCTTACCATCATTAATTGAAAAGACTGAAAAAAAAAATTAAATCAATTTTAAGAAACCAAGGTAAGGGAAATTAAGACTAATTTTATATATTGACAGTCTCAGTATACCAAGAAAATATTTACATAGCAGAACAGGAAAAATGGCACCTTGTAATATCCCAGTGTTAATATTTATAAGCCGGTCAGCGTCCAACACTGCGATGTGCTCATGTAACCTGAGTTCCCCAGGGTTAGTGGTTCCTTCTGCCTGTGAAGGATAAGAGCTGTTAGTGGCCTTAAATTTATGTTTACAGATCCTCTCAGGGTTTTTTTTTGGACATACATAGAATGTTTTGGGTTGGAAGGGACCTTTAATGGTCATCTACTCCAACAATATGTAATATAGACATACATGACCATAGCACCCAGAGGCTCTGAATCAACTTCAGTATACTGTATGAAAGTCTATAAAAGTTGCAGTAGGCTTATATTTTAACTTCATGAAAAGCTTTCATTTAAGGTAAAATGATCTATTGGAAATCACAGATGTTGACAACCTTTAATACATTGACCTGTGACAGCAGGAACCAGATATGTTTCTTTTAGCCTGCAGCTTCTCTTCAGCCCTCTTCAAATACAAGGAAAAATAGTCAACCATAAGGGTTGTGTAATTTAAGGGATACTGTGAGTAGTTCATAATGCATTATCCTGCTACTACAGAGTTAAATCTTAAGTAACTGTCATGGTTACAGGGGCTGGGGCCAGTTTATCATTCTGTGAATAGAAACAAAAAATGTGTATTCTATACCCTCTATGTCATTGCTCATGGGCTGTTAACAAAATAATTGGTAGCAGTTGCCCAGGACACAGCTCACACCTACAACAGGTAAGGAAAGAGATCCGGGGAGATGTTAACACCTTCCCACCCAGCAGGAGGAATCCTCCCTGTTCATGGGCCCATCCATGCCTCGCCCCATGACTCACAGAGAACTCCCCCCAGGAGCTATTTCTGTTCAATGGACCATCAAGGACCCACTGCATGACTCATAGAATGACTTCAACCCATTGTGAGGTGCTCTGCCCAGGGGGAGGAGCCAAGTGCTCCCACCTGGATATAAACTGGGGTTCAGGACAGCACAGGAGGCCTTACCCACTGGATTTCCAGAGGACAAGAGCTACCAGATCTTTTCTATCAGACCACTGTTTCATCTGGACTGCTACCACCACCCTAACTACGGAGTGTCAGGTTGTATTCTGATTCTGTCTGTGGTTTTTCTTTGTATTACTGCATTTATTTTATTTTTCCTATTAAATTGTATTTCTGACTTGGAGTGTCTCACTGGTTTGCTTTCAAACCATTAAAGTAACTCTACATGATACATACCCGAGATGTGCACACATGTCCATTGTGTTGCAGGAATTAATCCCAAAGTGACTTCACCCCTATCTTCCTCTCCTTTCCTTGCACTTCCTCTATATTTCTTTTTTGTTGATTTGTCTTTATTATAAACTACTAACCATAGTAAAGTAAAAGTAATTACTTTAAAGTCATTAAAGATATTTAAAGATTATTTTAAGATATTTAAAGTTATTACAGGTATTTACTAGAGTGGTTCCTTCCAGTCAGATGTTTTCCCTCCTTTCTCTGCAGTCCTCAAGGTTTTCACCTGGGGTCACGTGTAAAGTCCCTGTGCTGCTTTGGTATAATCCGTGGAGCTTTGCTCTACTGTGGCCTGACTTTCAAGCTCAGCTGCTTTCTTTGTCAAATCCTTGGGGGAAGAGGGAGAAGAAGAACGCTTACATTCTCTTAAACTCTTCCAAATTTCTACAATTCACACCAAGTGAAAAGTACTTCGTTGCCATTTGGCTTAGTTGTCAATAAACTGTAACATAAAAGGGACAGTTTATAGAATTATCAGTGTATGTTTTATGGTTTGAAGTTGTTTCACAGAATGACATGCTCATATGCAGCCCTCGACGCCTCCTAGGTCATGCTGAGAGAGGGGACAGACTGCAGGCTTGCATTAGGCATGTAGTTTGAAAGCTTAAGCAAAAGAAAAGAGTTTAGAGCAAGACAACATCTTACTCATGAAAAATAGTAAGCTGTGTAAATGTCCTGCTTACACTAGTGAAGAGCAGAGCTCCAGGTAGAGGATGTGTAACCTGGAAATTCTGTAAGAAAAAGCAAAGAACTGTGAGCACTGCCACAGTAAAATGAAAGCCAGAATCAAATAAAAGCGTCATCCCTCACTGCATTTCAATTGCCATCAGCACTAAGTTTGAGAAAGGTGTATTCTGATCAGATGTAAAAAACAAAACCAAACCAAACACTAAAACCAAACCCATCTAATAGTGTAGCAGGTAGTCTAAACCAAATTGAACCTGCTTCAGTTCTGCTACTTACCTAACTAACTGTGACAATTATTGGGTTTGGGAAGATGCAAGACTTGATCAGTCTTTTTTTTCTATGAGACAACCCATAGGAACTTTTAAACACCTTTTGAGCTGCCTGGTCTTGCCATTCATTGAGGAATGATATAGGAAGAAATTGCATACACACATGAAAAATCAACATAAAACTTGTCTTTTAAAAATTGCCAGACTCCCTAATAAAGAAAAGGAGTTCTGCATTTTTGTTTAAATTTAATTTTGTTTGCTGCAGTGTGATCTGAAGCTACTGACAGTACCCCAGCTAGTGACTGCAGGCACTGTACAGTATGGACTAACTCCTGTCCGTGTGTCACAAGTGCACAGCAAGCAAACCAGTTACACATGAATTTGTAAGGGTGCAGACAGTTGCCCCGGGAATAAGCAGAATGCTTGAGATGTTTGAAGTGTTCATGCCTGTCAGGCTGTCCTGAGGACACCAAGCACAACGAGACTGTCTTTAGCTGCAGTTGACCCATGTATTTTTAAACCTCCAAAATTATTGTTAGGGATGTTAATTAATAAACTAACACAGGTGAGAGGCATAAATATTGCAATTACTGCAGCAGGCTTAAGCTTTTGCTCCTTTTCCTGGTCTGTTAATAAGCTGAATAATTCCATAAAACAATTAATTTCTGGTTTTGTTAACTTCTTAAACTGCTGCTGCCTTCCTATTGATACTCGCCAGTGTTTCCAAGAGAGGCTCTAAGAAAGGAACAGATAAATAGTAGTATGCTCATGCTAAAAACCTGTTTTGAAATACAGTATATGCCACTTGCATGATTTGACTTCTCTTGCCCTTAGTATAGCAAACCTGTGGACAGAAGAATGAAGCTGAGACAGAGATTTGTGGCAGAGTGGGATGAGTCCGGGTAGTTTCCAGCACAGATCAGTAAATATCAGAAAATACCCTTCCTGCATGAAATCAATATTATCCAGGAATATTTACCTCGTAGATCGGGAAAGTTTCAATGACAGAAATAATGCAGACGTTTTTTTAAAAAACTACTTTTTGACTGGGGAGAATTTTCACATCTGTATCTATATAGGAGAAATAAAAGAAGTTGAAAAGGAAAAAAATAATGGACTTAAGAAATGTACCTACTTCTGTTAAGATGTAAGAGGTGCTCATTGGAATAATTTGGTTGGCAATTGTACACAGGTAATAATAGCAATACTCTTTTTTTTTTACTCAGCAAAATAAGAAGCAAAGAAAACCTTTTTAGTGACTAATAGCTCAAGTAAATATAGCAAATAATGAGTACACAGCTTTAATTGCTGACAGCAAAACTTTCAAATATACATAAAGACTTTGCACTAAATATTCAATAATTTATTCAATATAATTTTAAATTATTGAAATAGACTCTTACACAAAGCTATATTGGTTGTTGAAATGAAGAAATTTCTCATTTTAGATACATGCTTGTAAATAATTTAAATCAACAAAGACTTTTTTTTTTTCCTCATTTATTTCTCATATATATGTAGGCGTATCAAAACCACACTTTGGGTGTATATTAAATGATTTTTTTAACTCTAATTTACTTGAGCGAGTATCACTGAAGATTTGCAGGTTTGTCTTAGAAGGCTGGATCAAAGGGAATAACACAAGGCCCTGCTTTTCCAGAACTGAATTTATTTCATTTTCCAGGTTTTAATTTATGTCTATGAGCTTTTTGATAAGCAGCATACCTGTGGGGTTTACATTCTGACAAAGGCTTTTTAATTCTGATGCTTTTTCTGTGTCTCTACATCTCCTTCCACCACCTGAATATGGTTAGCAGAGCTACCTGGGCCAGTATGGACAGCCTTGGGTGCGCAGGATCTGAAGTCACCACAGTGGAAATGCATCCTGAAATCCATGGGGTGTACTGAGAAAAGATATTTTTGGCTTTCTAAAAACTTGGTTACTGCAAGTAGTGTGTTAAATTCTACCCAGCTTCACTGCTGTTTCTATGAAAAGCAAATCATGCCAAAAATACAGGAATGTTGTGTTATTCCATTTCAAATTTAAATAAACAAGAACTAGCCTTTGGTAATTAAT